AGGACTTTATCTCATAGGGGTAAAAATCATATGTGACTAACACCTTATGCCCAACACCTTGGTAAGTGGAATTGAAAGCCTTCTTGCTCAAATCAAGGAGACAAGAGAGTCAACTTTTACCACTCTTGCTCAGTGTAGTACTTGAAACTTTAGCCAGTACAGTCAGGCAAGAGAATGCAAGAAATGGACATGAATAGGAAAGGTAGAAGTTAAGGTATTTGAAGGTATTATAATCTTTCCCATAGATGACCCAAAATCTCCACTAGAACTCCACTCTTAAACTAATAAACAAATTCAGCAAAGTAACAGGGTACAAAATCAATATATAAAAATCAGTAGCATTCTCGTACACCAATTTCTAAGGGGAAAGAAATCAGGAAACAATTGCGTTCAGGATTGTTTCCAAAAAATTAAATATTGAGAATAAACCTAAGCAAGGAAGTGGAAAACCTCTATAACAAAAACTATTGAACACTGAAGAAAGAGACTGAAGCAGATACTAGAAAATGGAGACATCTCTTGTTCTACTTGAACCAGCAACATTCTTAACAGGGCTAGAAAAAAATTTTTTTTTAATTTATGTGAAACTGGAAGAGACTCAGGAAAGCCAATCCCTGAACAAAAAGGGCAAAGCAGGACACATCACAATTCCTGATTTCTACTTTTATTGCAAAGCTATAGCAACAAAAACATCAACCATCACATGTTTGACAAAGGGACCAAAAAGTCACTGGTTAAAAGACAAGATGTTTAACAAACGGTGCTTGGAAAACTGGTTATCTACAAGGAGAAGAATGAAACTAGACTTATATCTCTCACTCTGTACTACAATCAAATCAAAATTCTTCATTTTTTAAAGTTTAATTTCATTTTTAACTGATACATAGAAACACACCTATAATTATTCTACTGATTTCATAAAAATGTATTGCAGATTTCACTAAGTAATTTAAAGTATTTACATCAATGATTAGTAAAGGAGTGTCCATCTGAAGTATCAGAGTAAACACAGCTGCGTGGGAAACCCCAGTACAATAAGCGTAATTGAAGTTTTCAAGACACAAAGTCTTCCTGGCCACATTGTATTATGACTTGCTGTTTCTTCCCACAAATAACGCCTACATGTCACTATGTGATCAGAATCTTCTTCTGAGAAGATTTATAGCAGACACCTGAGTAAAGGCAGATAAATAATTTAACAAAGCCTCTGAGCCACAGCAGGAGAGAAGAATTGTTTGAATAACTCCAGCCCCTGACTCCATGAGTTAATGAAAGTGGTATTGTTACACTTAAATTTCCAAGAATACCATTCTCCACTGGCCACTTCCAACCCCCATTTCCACCCCCCAAGCAGTTAGATACCTAACTTAAAAGTCGAGTTCAAGCCTAGCTTGGTGGTGCACACCTGTAATCTCACCACTCCAGGAGACTAAAGCAGTAGAATCACAAATGTGAGCACAGCTTAGGCAATCGGACCATTTCCTAAGACCCTGTCTCAAACCCTGGGGTGGTGCTGTGGATGTAGCCCTGACTTCAAGCCTGGTATTGGGAGGGAATCCCAACAGTGTTCAGAAAAAAAGAGCAATTAATTAACCTATGTCTTGAAAAATTATACAAAAAGGGGGGAAACCAAATTTAGAGAACAAATGAACATTAAACAGTGCAGCATCCACACATAGGAATCACGATGCAGTACATGGGTTCTGAACATGGCATGTGAGCTATAATTTTGCCATCAAGAAAATGTCCTTGGGCTGCACTGTCTTCTTTCAACGAGGCTTCCTTGCTGAAAGAAATGCTTGAGAAAATGGTTCACAAGCTTAAATGTCATGCAATGGTCATAATTATTTTTCCCTTTTTCTTAATTTCAAACCTCCAAATGGCTTTCTTATAAGCTCAAATGGTGTGATCCCTCTCAATCCAAGACTGAAAAACCATGACAATCTTGAAATTAGTAACAACATCATTGGTACGTGACACTGGAGGTGACAATAACACTTGTGTGGAATTTCAGGCATGTCTGAAAGAATCATGACCCACCACTGTTCCAGTAAATTCCTTTGAGACACCAGGCTTAGAAAAGGGCTGCTTTCTTCTCATTCTTGGGTTTCCTTTTGGTTGGTGTATTCTAAGTTACTGTTTACAGGAAGTAGTACGGAGCACACTGCAAAATTACAAGGTAGTCTCCGCAGTCTTTATGAAAGAGCATTCTTCCATGTCACAGCGGGTGCTCTAAAGTTAGCGGCTAGTAGTGATTCCACAGCAGTTAATTTGACAGACCACAATCCACGCTGTGTACTTTCTTCAGCTTTCATCACCTCGCATTTCTTTCCCCCAAATCATCAGTTGTTTGCACTTGTGGGAACTGGAAGGCTGAAATGAGATCCTCCTTCTTTCTTGATTTTCATATTCTCAGGTACAATTCTTTATTTTCCTCCATTCTCTAATTTTTTAGTGCCTCCATCAAAAACAAAAATGCCAGCTATTTCAATGAAACATTCCACTTTTAACCTTACACAGCTTTCCCCACAGAATATTCACAACCTCCTTCTCCCCCTAAATGATAATACACACGCACATACAGAGGGGGAGCTTAAGGTCTAGAAAGGAAGAAATAAGAATTGTGGAATGCATAGGTTAACTTTCCTTATTTCACTAAGATGGAAAAAGTGATTTTACTTGCTAATTCACACAAAGCAGCTTGGTCTGACCCTCCTTCTTCTCCATAAGACCAGAGATGTAGTCACAGCAGTATAGAAATTGTAATCTCGTTCTTCTAATGAGCAAGAATTGCAACACACAGCGGTGTTCTGCGTAACCGGATAATGTTTTGTATTTTAACCAAGGCAAGAAGAGTTCATGGCCAGTGACGTTCTCTACTCTGTTATTATTTGGATGTAATGTGACTCTCCAAGCCTTCGGCATTGGTCAGGTGACTGGATTGTGGGGCTGGTAGAGATGGCTTTCTGTTGGGAGATGGGGTCCAGTCCAAGGGGAGTAGACTGGTCACTAGTGGTGCAGTCTGGAAAGTTTTATCCTGCTTTGTTCCTGCAACAAGGAAAGTGAACTGAGGCTACACACCTCTTTTATAAAATCTCATACTGAACCCTTAAGATCAGGAAATGATAGCCTTCTAAAATTAAGTACTGTTGAATACGGAATTCGCATATATATACTTATAGTCATCAATATCTTATAGACATTGAACTAGAGAAAATAATTCCATTTTATTACTTAGGATTCATCTGTGTTTTACATTTATTCTTACTCAATACGTGCTGGCATTCTCATCTTTGAATCAATCTCTTCGTGCCCTTTAGAACTTAAAAGTGATGAGACACATTTAACCAGGAACTTACTTCTTTTTTTAACAGTAAAAAAAAAATGCTTTTTTTTGGAAGATCAGAGGGAAGACAGGAAAGAACTCCATTTTAAGTAGTTGGAGGAGGTACTTTAAAATAGGGGTTCAGACTGGTCCACCCACAAAGGTCAGAGAAAAATTTCAAGGACTGGATGGTGGGTTTGGGTTCAGTTCTTATTATGTCAGTCCAGGTGGCTTTGTTCTGAAATCTTTAGGTATGACAGGTGGTATCCTTCCCAGGAGAGGATTGTCTTTGTGGGGATCTAGTCATGTGGGGCTCCATCTTACCTGGAGACCAGGTGATTACAGGTCTAGGACAATGTTTGGAGACTTTGGGTATAAGTCTATGTCTTTGTAAATCTCTTACCTTGTCCTCATCTTGAAGAAGAATGAGACCATGTAAAGTCTAGAGCAGTCAACGCTATCTGGCCAGCACCTAGAAAGTCATTCGCTAAATGTTCAACATACCTCTGTGCAGAGCTGAGAAGAGATCTGACCTAACATGTACTGTAACGAAGGGTGTGACATGAAGGTCAACCTTTGATCCATTTGAGCCTTTTGGACACCTGAAGGCTCAAGTGAAAAGCCATGGTTCATAATAAATACGGGCTTTTAAGGGCATGACATTTCCCACACAACACAAATCTTGCTTTTAATGAGTAGCAAGCAAGGGCTCAGGTTTCTACCTGCCCCCCATCTCTGTAGTGGTCACTGATTATGTCATGACTGTACCCCCACCCCAAAATTTTATACTTATTATGTTTTAGAGAAAGAAACACAAAGATATTTTTCTATTTTCAAAATGTTATTAACTATTTCACTGTGTGGTTATATTTTCTTGTTGGGAGTTCAGGACATAGTAGATATCCAAAATTAATTTTAATTTACTTTTTTTAAAAATTTATTTTATTTTTAAATTTACTTTAAAGATAATGAAGCCAATCAAAATAAAACAGAATAAAGCAAATCAAAACAAACCAATGTAAATGACAGAGGTCTTCAAAATGATAGGAAATCAATAATGGTTACCATAATGCCTCTTGTTGTCTTCAAAATAGCTGCAGATACCTTCAGAAATAGTAAAAAAAAATCAAACAAAACAACAGAATAGAACCAACAAAAACAAAATAATGAATGCAATAAAGGACTTCAAAACAAGCCATTGGTATATCTAAAAGGACTACCATAAAGATATCTTGTTATCTCTTTGAAACATCTGCCCATGCAATCAGTATAATAAAATCAAACAAAACAAAACAGAATAAATCCAACCCAACAAAACAGTGGAATTGATCAGGACTTCAAACAAGATAACAGGGAAGTAACAATGGCTCCCATCTTCAGAAGGAGATCCCCCCAAAATGCCATCATCTACCATCTTCCAAATAGATGATCAGACCACTAGCCCTAGACCTGAAAAGTAAGAGAACACAAAACATCACAAGCATCAAATTCTATTAGACCAGAATACCCATCATCATAGCCTGTGTTTCTGCAGATCAGTCAGTCACTTATGCAGGGTGAGGGGTGGGGGAGAATTGGCTCTACTTGTTTCCCAGCACATGCATCCAAAGGGGCTTGGGTCTGGTTGTCTCCCCAGCAGTAGTGGTGGCCACACATAGCACTGATTCGCAGGAAGTGCTTGTTTCTTGGTGACTTCTTGTTCTCTTCCCCTGCAGTACACAAATGGTGCTGACTCATGGTAGGAGGATGGGATCTGGCTGTCTCCAAATTTCATTTTACTGTTAATATCTGTCAAGCCTTCATGGGAATTACTTTCCGGGACACATGAAGAACTTTTTTACCTCCCTCAGATCTTTAACACTTGTGCATCTGCCAGGATGGACCATGGTCATGCTTGACCCTGTGGCCTCTCTGGGGCGCATGAGGACACCTACTTTTCAATGGTCCTCGTTTAGCACAATGCACATTGGCTGATTCATGTCCATCAGGATCCACAGTCCCTCTGCTTCAAAGGTTGAGGGACTCACTGGAGTTGCAGAGCCCATTCATCTTGCCTTGGACCCTGGATGACCTTAGAAGGTAAAAGCCAAAATACTTGTCCCTTTAGCCCTTCCATGTCCCTTCATTTTGGCCTCCAAACTTCAGTTGTTGACTGCACACCATATTATTGGTGGGAATGTAAACTAGCATCACCACTGTGGAGATCAGTGTGGAGATTCCTCAAAAAACTAAAAGTAGAAATTCCATTTGATCCAGATATGCTTCCTCTGGGTATTTTCTGAAAAGATTTAAAGAGATCATATTACAATGCCACATGCACACCCATGGTTATAAACAAAGAAACCGATAATAGCTAAATCTTGGAAGTGGCCTTATTCCCATCAACAGATGGATGGGACAAGGAAATACAATGTACGGGCAATGCACACAGTAGAGTACTTCTCAGCCATAAAGAAGGATAAAGTTGAGTTATTTGTAGGAAAATGAATGCAACCTGATACCACCATGCTCAATGAATCAGACACAGATTAAATATCACATGATCACATAGTTTCTTTTATATGGAAAATCCAGAATATAAATATTAAAAGAGCAAATAGAGGAGAAGAGACAGAAAGCAATGGTGGACTACAGAGAGTAAATGGGGATGAGGATGAGGGGAGGCAGAAGGAGAGGGAGGGGAAGAGGAAGTAAAAACGATGAAGATATGATCTATATGCACACCAATTCCTTAAAATAGATGTAGTTATTGTATATTATATACATTTACTAATAAAAAAGAAACTCAAAAAAAATATTTCTAAGTGGTGTAGGCCAGATGTTGGCAAGTGGCCCACCCAGCTTGTATAGTTTCTGAAACAATAATCTGTAAGGTATCACACACATCCCTTCCTAATCAGAATTATCATGGCCACAAGTTAGACAGTATCATTTTCATAATGCTGAGAGCAGTGCTAAGGTTGATTCCAACACGGCCTGTGTTCATTTTAAGGAAGTCCATTAATTTCAGCTGCTGATCCACATTTCCAAAGCCCTCAACACTTTCCTTCTCTCTTCTCTCTCGTGTCTTCTGCTTTTCAGACCAATCCTTCTCATGTAATGCCTAGTGGTGACAGAGATTTTCAGACTACACAGACAGGTAAGAAGTGAAGAGGTGAGGTTTCTCCTTCCTTGAGTCTTTAAAATGTGCATTTAAATGACCTTTGCCAAAGCCAGCCCGTGCAGCTTGGGGCCATGGCAGCTTGCATGGCCCCCAGGACAACTGAGAGACAGCATTTTCATTGTGTGTCTCAGCATCTGCCACCCCTCCTGTATGCCCAGGGTTTCCAGCACATGTAAACAATGGCTAATATCCACAGTGGCTGCCCCAGCTGCCTGTCTGCCTAGGAATTAAAACTAACCTGCCCAGGAAACAGTTATACAACTGTTGGGCTTCTGACAACAAAGTTGTACAGCTATAGAGATCTTATTTTTCTCCTATTATTTTTTAAGCTTTAGAGAAAAGTCGCAAAGACCATAGTACTGATTATTAGGAACAACAATCTTTTTTATTGCAAACAACAAAAAGTTATAGAGTGAAATGAGTGAGCAAAATGAGTGAGCAAAAGTTTAGGGAGAAATAGGTTGCTTCGTTAATGTCAAAGTATCACCCTTAAAATATTTATTAGTTACAAGAACAAAATTAGTAATTTCACCAAGAAGAAAATCATCTTAATGAGGAGGTTAAGGTGAGCACCTTTAGGAGGAAGGTATATGCATATCATTTACAACCAATGTGATCTACATTGCAACTGATTTCCTGCTCCTAAGGCACAAATTCAGTCTAGTTATGTGAAATCAACAAACCCAACTTAGAGAGATTATCAAGAATTTGTGACTAGTACTCATCAAATAGTCACGATCATGAAAAAGAAGGAAAGATGGATTACCACATATAACAGATTACCACATATAACAATTAAAATTAGTATGGGATTATGAGTTACATTGTAGAATCAGCAGACTAAAAATATGCTGCACTTGTTCGGGGAAAACTTAACATTTGCAGAAGGTTTGGAGTTTAATAAATTGTAAAATTCACGTAATTATGTAGCTTAGTTAATTCCATTGTACTGATGTCAGCTTCTTGGATGTGATTGTCACGTTTACAGTTATGCAAAATGGCAACATAATAGGGAGCTAGGGATGCCCAAATTGTTGTTAATTGAGTTTTTGTCATAAATATGGTTTTACCAGAGATAAATTATAGCATATCACATTAGCAAATTTAAGTGTGCATATTATTCTTCATGAGCTTCTTCATTTTCTTAGTGCGATATTCTTGGGATAGAGAAATAGTTTTTATTTACTTCTTAATCTAGAGAATTATTTACTTTTGTTTTATTCATTCTGTGATTGCTGTATATAAAGTTTGCATTTGTCTTTAGGAATAGATACAGATACACAACCCACCTGGATTCCTTTTCACTCCCTTCCCACCCACATCCCTAACCTCCTTCCATCTCTACATCCCATCCCCATTTTCATTGCTACTTTTGTTATTATTTTAGTTCATGTTTACAACAATCAGTATTTGCATGCATGGTGGGTTTTTGGTATGAGCACTGGAAGACCAAAAGAACTGGAGGTCAACATCCAAAGGGGAGGGGAGGACTGGAGCTCCTCCATAAAGGGACGCATTTTCTTCTTTCCTATTGTAATTCCATCTATGACTGAAGCCTAAAGCTTGATGCCACCACATCCAGGGTGGGTCTTCCCTTAGCAGTTTGCCATGTTGATCAGCTTCAGCCACACTCACTGCTTTCCTAGTCTGCAGGGAAATTCCTTCTGAAGGCTCGCTGACATTAACAATTAACAATCTCTCTGCTAACACTACTTACCTGGAGTCTCATCATAATTGTAACCACTGGGCCGCGTGGGTAAAAGAACTACAGTGACACACTGCTCAACAGGGAAATGATGTATTCCTCAAACAATAATGTCTGACCATCTACCACCATCCTGAGAGCGATAAAGCCTCTACTTCCTGCCTACAATTCAAATACATAACTACCCCTTGCACAGGTTTAAAAAAAAAAATTATTGCCTGTTGGCAGTATATAAATGCTTATATTCCCTCCGTGGAGTTGGTGCGTGTACACCACACGCCTTAATTCCTTTTTTCAGCCCGTGTGCCTTTCCTCTGTCCAACTCACTGTATGCCTTGATCCTCTACACGTTTGAGAAATATCTACTTCCTACTGTCTTTTATTTTGATCTTTATTTATAATTTGGGTTTCTCAGATAAGAGAAAACATGTGCTATTTAAGCTTCTGCATCTATTTACTTAATGTTATGGTCTCAAAGTGCATCCATTTTCCTACAAATAATTCAAGTTTTTCTTTCTGTAGGCAGGTAGTACTCCAGTGTGCATAAATATTTTCTTTATGCATTCATCTATAACTGGACACATAGGTCACTTCCCAGATTAAGCTCTATGAATTGTGCCTCTTCAGACATAGGCAGGCACAAATCACTGTAATGGGAGGTCTTTAACTCTGTTTCTACAAGGAAACTATCTGTTTCTGTTTCTACAAGGAAACTATCTGGTCCAAATGGAATTCATAGTTTCGGCTTTTTGAGGAATCTCCATCCTGATTTCCTAGTGGTTGACATGTTCAAACCATAATTTGTCAAACCCCTCAGAAGTTTGCTTTTCCTTTACTTTTTGAAACTTCAACAAATGGCATCATTAAAAACCCACCCAGAGCCCCAAAGCTGTAATTCAGTCTTGACTCTTCCCTCTTCACTTCCAAATCCCCTAAGTGACCGAGTCCTGGGCGGCTTTCTTGCCAAATGTAACCACCTTTCTCTGTTACTCTGAGTACTAATTTAAATAGGACATTTTCATCTTTCATTTGATTCTGGAAAAAAAATTAGCTGGTGGCTTCCAATCTATTCCTCTCCCAGGAACTTTTCTCTTTGTCCGGAATCCATAGAGGCTTTTGAAAAGTCCATACCAGCAAAGTTACTCCTCTAACACTCCAGAGGGAATCCTCTCTGCCCCTCAGAATGTGTGGGCACTGCAATGTTTTACAGTGGTTTACAGGAGCCCACAGTAAGGGTCCCTACCTGTTTCCACACATCTCTGCCCATCTGCCCTCCCAGCGTCTTAACCCTCACTACGTGGATCTTACATTTTGAGCTGTGCCTCTCTCTCCAAAGAGACATCTTTGTCTGTGGATGGACTGCTTTCTCCACACCTCTTTGTTGTATAATCTTTTACTCATCCTCGAGATCTCACCAGAGTTGGCATGGCTTTCTCTGGCCCCTCCGAGTTACCTCTCTCTGCTCACTGGCCCAGCAGTGATTGTTCTGTGCTGGAGTCTCTGGCTTCATAATGTTTTTTCCCCACAAGCCCTTCACCTTCATGTGGCCTGGGCTCTAATATGTATTTGGCACACTATAGACAAAGAAGAGAGAGCACAGTCTTGTTCTTTGCTTTGTCTTGATCCAGGCTCTTCTTTCTCCAAGTCATTGCTCTTTGAGCTGCTCTTTTAACACTCTGAGTTGCCTTCTGTTCTGTCCTATCAAGATACTTGCGTTCCTGCAAGTTATATTGGAAGATCAAAGTCTGTGAATTCCCATCTAGACTAACGTGGTGGAAACTGTAGGTACTTAATGATGGCTTGCTAAGGAGGGTAACCCTGAAGAGTCCAGGCAGAAGGCGTCCCAAGGGGCTGCCTATCGGGAAGACGAAACAGGAGATGAATTTTGTTCTAAAATACTATGAGTAAACACATTTTCAATTACTTAATGCTGTTAAATCATTGATTACTTCAGCTCTTTTAGGAACTCCATATTTAGGATCACTTTGTTCATTTTGGAAAGCTGGAATGTGAAGATGAAGCACAGTAGGAGATTTGGATATTCCTCAGCTATAAGTTAACAAGTTGCTGGGGTAATAAATATAAAAGGGAAAGTTTCAGTACCATCAAATGATTGCTTCTGATGGGTCACTGCACAGAGCACAGGAGAGCGTGTGGCAACAGTGTCTATTGGAAGTCCAGGAAAAGGAGAAAAGCATGAGTCCCATGCGTATTAAGTTAAGAAACCATCAATTGCTGAGACTTGTTAAGGATTTGAAGTCATTAGTTAATTCTTCCTCCATCAAATCCACACTTTTTTGTAATTAATAAAAATAAAATGTGCCCAGGAAGATTACGTGGCTTACCTAATCTTGCCCAACAGTGTCAGAATTTTAATTAAAATCTCCCCTCCCCCAAAAAATGAGCTTTAAATTTTAAAAAAGAGAAAGTTTTCATGATCTTTAACTTATCTTGGGAGTCATGTCTTTGCAAATTGTCAGGCTTTAAAAATCTTCCATTTGTATTCATGGAAAAAAGTCAGGAGTGTTTGCACAGTCAAGGACAATTTACTCTTCCTTCCTACAAGTCAGTTAATAGACCAAAGAAACTGGCCGTAAGCACTGTTTGAAAAGAAGGAAATGTGAGGGCTTCAGCCCTGTGTGCCAGACAGACGCAGAAATCTAGAGAAGGGTTCAGGTGGTTTTGTACCTTTGTCAGGTGACTTGATCCCTTATAACTAAGAGGCTCATCAGAAATTTTGTTTCTTATTTTAAGCAAATCTATTTAGTCTTCTTTCTACCTATATAAATTGTGTAAGCTGGTACAATTATGCATTAAGTACATAGAGTTATATATTAAAATAATACATGTGTATAGTTTAGATTTGTATCATGTAAAATTGTAACACGATGTTTATTTAATATTTATTTTTCTTAATTAAATGCAGTTGTTAACCCAAATCCTTTTTGCAGTTTTTAGAGCTACTGAAGGTATAATGTGTGCAGAAAGTGACACAATATAGTCCACAGTCTGTTTAGGTATCAATTTTCAGTCTGGCGTTTATACTTAGAAGGAAATTACCCAACCACAGTCCCTGGAATCGCTTTTTGATGGAGTGTCCTGTAGATACTACTGTGACCTCCCTGCACCTCTGTGACACATTGACTGATTCCCCTGCAAGAGACTTCTGGACAGCCTCCATTGTTTTTAGGACCAAATTTTCAGTTTTGCAGGAAGCAAAGTAAGAACCAGGGTGCACCAGGAGAATGTCACCCTCTACTGTGGCATTTTGTGGAAGTGACAATTTCTGATTTTTCAGCCCAGTATAAGGAGGCTCAGTCAGTTCCAGGGTGTGTGGTGACCAGAGATGGACGGCCCAGGTGCATGTTTAAGCTTCTTGGTTACACTACCTCATTTATTGCTCATATTTCTGTTTTATTTCAAGAAAAGTGCATTTTTATGACATTTTACCGTGAAATCATTTAAAAGCCAGCATTTAAAATTCAGACACATACACACACACACACACACACACACACACACACACAAGAGTGCAAGAAGATGAAGAAGTGGCAGCTAAACTCTAAGGGGAAGTAGCTGGGCTCATCAGACACAAGGTCTGAGCTGTGAATTCCAGGATGGCTCTCAGGGAGCAAACCTGCTGTGCACCCTCTCTCTTCTCTGGCCGAGTCTGTCCTGGAGCTTCAGGTCTTCTGTGGGAACATTTTCCTCTCTCCATTGCTGTGATGCTTGTGGATAGAGATGCTGTCCACTTTTCTATGGTCTATCTGACTGCTGACTGCCAGAGAGGACCTTTGGTGGACTGCAGGTTGCTATAGGTCAGAGAGGGAAGGGCAAACAGCACCCTGGCGATGACCTGGAGTGGATAGACGTTCTGCCAGAAGGAGAGGCAAAGGATTGAGGGTGGCTTCATATGTTTGAGGGCGAAATCCTCTTGCATCATAGTGCTTTTCAGAGCTGACACCAGCTTCTGCTCCCTAGAAAACCATCATGTGGCTTCCTGGTGTCACTGTGTTGTTCCTTTTTTTTTTTTTTTTTTTTTTTAGTACTGGGACTCGACTCGTGATCTTGAACTTGCCAGGCAGGCACTTTGCAGCTGAGCCACATCCCAGCCCTGTCACTGTTCCCTTTGGCAATAGACACAGAACATGAGGCCCCAGTGAAGGGTATCCATGTCTTGAAGGAAAGGCCCTCTTGTGTGTAAACAAAGTGATGTCAACTTAACTTTTCCATCTTTTTCTGCAAAATGTTGCTTCTACACAGATGATTTCTTACTCAGATTAGAAAGACTCCTCAGCAGTTTGGAGCGGAAAGAGAATAGACTTTGTACTTTGAGGAATATTGAGTCAGATCCCAGCTTTTCTGTTTACTTGAAGTTCAAGCAAGTTTGCGCTAATTAACCTCCTTGCTCCGGGTAGCTCTGTTTTTTTCAAATAGTTTGATTGATGTAAGGTAACTGCACCATATCATTCACCAAGAGTGCACAGTTCAATAATTTTTAGAATGTTCACAATGTTGTACAGTCAATGCCACTAATTTTAGAAAAGTTTTTGTCTCCCAGAAAGAAAATTATATGCTTCTTTCAACCCATCTCAGACCATCACTAATTAGCTTTCCACTTCTATAGATTTGCCTGTTCCAAACATTTCCTCTAAGTGAAATCCTACAATGTGTGACACTGAGTGACTGGTCTCTCTCCCTGAGCATTTTCAAGGCTCACTCCTGTTGAAGATGTACCGTTATTTCCTCCTTGGTGTTGCTGAACTATATCCCACTGTATGGCTGCAGTGCACGTAGCTAATCCAGTCATGGTTAATAGACATTTGAGATGCTTTCACCTCTTGGCTCTCATGAACAATGCCACCAAGGACATTTATGTGTGACTTCTGAGCGGAGTACACTTTAATTGCTTTTGTGTACATATTTGAATTGTTATAGGTAAGTCCCATGGTGACTCCACCTTTCATTTTTGGAAGACCTGCCTAACAGTTTCCCAAGGTGGTTTCAGTGTTTGGCATTGTTACCAGCACTTTTTCTGAGTGATTTCTCCAAATCCTTGATGGTACCTCTTACTTTATTCCTATGAATTGTAGCCAGGCTGGTGGGTGTAAAGTGGTGTGTTCTTGTAATTTTGATTTGCGTTTCCCTAATAAATGCTGCTGCTTAGCATATTTCCATAAGCGTCCTGGTCATTTGTATATCATCTTTGGAGAAATCTCTGCTTAGATTCTTGATTCATTTTTAATTGCATTTTTATCATTAAATAATATAAAATAGTACCTGTTTTGTTTTAGGATCCATGTGATTCTTTTTTGCTGCACTCTTTTCAAGCTACTAATGCTTTTTAAGCCAGGTATATTAGGCAGCGTGTGTGTGTGTGTGTGTGTGTGTGTGTGTGTGTGTGTGTGTGTGTTCAGTTTAGCATCAACATATGAAATAGAGAAACACTGAGGGCAAGCAATCATGTTTACTTAATGTCTATTGTCCTAGATGTTTTAATTTTCTCCTTTTGCTGAGCCAAAATATCCAACACTTAACAGAGGAAAAGTTATTGTATCTCACAGTCTGCAGAAATTTTAGTCAATACCTGACGGACTCCAAGGCAGGAGGGCATGACAGAGGGCATCACAGAGGAGAAACAGCTCATGGCAGACACAGGCCACAAACAGATGTAGCAGCAGGCAGTGGTGGTGGCAGCGCCCTTTTATCCCTTATTCTCTGTCCTTACATCCCAGGTGGGGCACCCGTAATCCTAGCATCACATCCTTTTATCTCAGTATCACACACCGCAGATCCAGCATCTCTGAAAAGCTCCCCAACATGAGGCTTTGTGGGGACATCTAGGTACAACTCAAAACAATGTACTAGTATTCTGATTAATTGCTGAAATGTTTTCACTGAGTTAGTTTGGAGTTTCATGCCATTGCACAGTTACCTAGTGCACAGATGCCCTTTTTCTAGACACAGCTAATGAAACTCAGAGTAACAACAGTGTTTCTGAGAATGAGACTGCTGAGCTGACTCTGGTGATGTCTTTATCTCCCTCCTCCTAACTGAGCTCACTGGTCTTTGATTGCCATGAAGATGATCTTGAAATTCACTTTGCATTTCTCATATATAAAGTGTATTTTCCTTGAATAAAATATGGCCCTAGTGATTTCTCTAAAGTCTTTTAAATCTTTTCACAAATACCTCCTGGATTCAATGGAGTGGGGTTTCTGCATGATTTAGTGTACGCCCCTGGACATCAAAAATATATGTAGGGCTGAAATATTAATCCAGTGTCAGTTGCTGATAAAAAGTAGGAAATTTCAAATCCACTTTCACCTAATAGCACAGATGCTGCCATAGCCATCTAGACAGAAGTTGACATCCTTGAAACTTATCACTCATTATGTGACTCTGTTCCTCTCCTACTACAGGGTCAAGATATAAAAGAACAACAAAGAAACAGGAGCAGGAATATCCTGCCCACGTACCAGTGTACCTGATGAAATCAACCTTCCAGACACGTTGTTATTGTGCCTGTCAGAAAAAGATGAGCATATGCTTCAGCTGGATTTTTTAAAGACCCAAAGAGAAATATTGATGAAAACAACAAGCCATCATGTACAGCATATACCTTCAAAGCAGATGCAGGTCATGCTTCAATGTCAATGTGTAAAAATGTCCTGTCCATCACCCGGTGCTCTGACATTGCTTTTGTTGTACTCTTCTGGGCCTTGTCATGTTACTAAATCAGGTAACCTTTTTCAGGAAGATCAAAGATTTCTTGCATAGGAACATGAACTAATATTGACAAAATCACTTGAACTAAATTTTTGATGTGCAAGTTAAGAACTGATGCATCTTGCCTTTCCAGCTCCAAAAGAGAAAAAGAGAAGACAGCTCATCAGCATTCAAAATTCACCAAGAGCTTGTTTCATCATTCCATGTATAATATACGTTTTGTATTTTTCTTCATATACATAGTAGTTACTAAACAGAACACAGAGAAGAATCAGGCTAACTATGGGGAGTGGCTGAACTGGAGATTGACCACACATTCAGGGCTAGAGAAAAGCCAGTCCAGCAGGTGTTTGGCCCTGGTGTTCCTCCCTGATAACTACAGCACAGATAGCTCTGACAATGTTCCGTTTTCAGTTTTCTCAGTGAAACGCTGAGACCTTGCACTATCTGCCCCATCATGTACTCCCCCCTCTTTCTACTGTGTATAAATAAAGACGCAAACCATGCTGGGCTGTTAGTGTCTCTTTGTTAGAGAGGTCAGGTCCACCTGGTCTTAGCTTTCCTTTTAATATGTGTCTAATTTTTTTTCTTAATTTCCTATCATCCCCTGTCAAGACCCTACTGGCTGTGTGGGTCATGGCTAGTGGTGCCCCAGCGTGAGGCCTGATCACAAGGGAACTCAGTAAGCGGAGACAAGGAGACATTCTGGGAGTGTGTGCAGCAGGACTGAGGTATGGAGTACATTGAGTAATCACTGGGTGTAAAATGATGGGGAGTTCAAAGATTTTATATTGAAATGCTTAAAGTTTTGTTTAAGATTAGAGGGTTGCTTATCGAAATTATTTAGCTTGCTAAATTTGTTTGTTCAAGAGACCTTTCTTTGGTTTCCAAAGAAGGAACTATAACTTTAAATTCTTGGGAAAAGGTGGGACAGCAGCTTAGAGCAAGGCTAGGGATAAAGCAAGCCAGTATAAATCTATCTGGACCCCCTCAGGCATTTAATGGTATATTTAACAGGGAGAAAATCACTTCTTTCCACTCCTCTCACCACTTCTCATGGACTTCCAGGTGGGGAGGGAACAGGGCTGAGGGGTGCAAGCCAGGTGGGAACCAAGAGCTCCACCAAGCCTGAAGTCTGGCCTGGACCAGCGAGGTTGGAGGAACCCAAATAGCTGCTTTGTACTGTGTCAGCTGCAGCAAGGAATCCAGGCTGTGTGCCCTGCTCTAGAACCCAGTGGCAACTACACTTTTGTTCTAGAGTCAGGGAACAGCCACGGCTCACCTTTTCTGAGCCTTAGTCAATGTGGAGAACACCAGGGCCTGCCCTTCCTCTGAGCACACAGATTTATTGTTCTTACATCACAAATGGCTGTAGCATTGGCACCCAGCAGGGAGCTGTTTGGGCATAGTCATAGCAATCCAGGAACAAGGGGTCTAGGCATGCCCCAGACAAAGACAAATCAAAGGCACCAGCAAAGGGAGTCAACATAAGTGATAATATTACCTCAAGTTATATTAAGTCTGACAGAGAGACACTGTTAGAAGAAAAGTTCTGCACTTTGTGACAGAGTGTATGGAGATAACTGAGCCAGAAGCTACATGAAAGAAAGGGACACAAAAGTTGACAACATTCTTAAGATAAAATGAAACACCAAAGTATATTAATTATGGATAAAATATATTTATTCCTTCCAAATTTTTCCTATAAGAGATCTCCGTTAATTGATCTATAAAAAATTCTGACCATTTATTTATAATTGCAATCAAAAATTGTAAGAGTTGCAATTCAATTTGGCTGAAAATATATTTGAATGCACTCTAATTTGTATGTGTATTTATCTGTCTACCTAATTTGTAAATAGCTGCTTTATTTGAGCTCAACAAATTTTTCTTCTTGCATTTTTGATTTTTTAAACATTTTTTATAATTTAATTCAGCTTATAAATAAATACTATCAAAATTAAAGACATAATTCCAACCAAGTTGCCAGCTGGTCAAGATGATGTTAAAATTGGTTTTAAAAATCTAATGAATATGAGGGTTTATGTATTATGACTTGAGAGTCTCTTATTGTTCAAAAGTAATGTGTTAAGTATTATCTGGTTCTCACAAGTCATCAAAAATTTATTAATTAAACAAAAATTAAACAAAAATCTCTTAGGGTATCTATCTAAGTGTATAGCGCTTGTTTCTGTGTGTTTGTTGTGTGTCCCTGTGCTTCGTGTGGCATGAGTAAATGAATGCATGTGCATTGGATATGTTATGAGTGTGACCATAAGAAGTACTCACACCCATTTTCTGAGCCAAATGAGTTTATTTAGAAAGAGGAGACCTGTGCCTTGGTGTCTTATTGTGCAGAGCCAATGGGGGACTGAGATCCTTTCTCACAAGGTCTTCAGGATGACAGGGCTTTGGATTTGGAGCAAAGTGAATAAAGTCAATGTGTACCATGAGTCTCTGCTTTGCTTCCTCTCCTTGCTTTGCCCCACTGTTGTAGCAGAAGAAGGTGGCTGTTTGTTACAAAGCAGCAGTATCATACTGCTCTGGGCACCTAGGCAAACAGTCTCCATGGGAGTGTATTTGTTAGTTTTAGTGACTTTTTCTGCCAGTGGCTGGACTCGCAGAAAGTGAAAACAAATTAAAGTAGCATTTACTGGTGTTAACATTCCGTGTAGGACGTTAAGGAGTTCTTTATAGACGGTGCGATTAACTATCTCCTCAGGAATTGTGGAACCAGTTGCTCATCACTGAATCCTGTCTCCCTTTCTGACTGTTCCTGGTTCAGGTTCTGACCGTGTCAAATTTTCTTCCCAATGCTCTAGGGCTGTACTTGTTAGTGACACTGAAATCTGCCTCCTGCTTACCAGAGCCTGTTGCATTTGTTTCCAATGTTCCGTGTTCCTTGTGAAGCACAGGCACTGTGATTTATTCCCTGCTTTAATATTTATCAATATTAATGAGTACTGTGCATGCTTATTGGATCAGGCACTTAAACTGAAGGAGATTAAAAATGTTGCTGTTATTTGGTAGCCAGGTGGTGTAGACCTTGATGAGAAAGTGATTTGCCCCGATTATCTTAATGAGATCACTGAAGGAGAAAGGATTATGTTTCGGAGATATTCCTGTCAATGTGAGGAAATCGAGAGGGAGGTCCAGACATTTATTTTCCTTGCACATGGCTATTTTTAGTGTATATTTGCAAGTCATTATAAAGTAAATAATAATGTAACCAGTTCAGAATGCATCATCCATCCTGACAGTCACTAGTCAAGCGTCATTTCTAAGCATCTGAAATGGACAGAAGTACACAGGACACTGTAGGTTTTGAAAGGTAGATGGAAAAACTAATGCCCACATCTAAATAGGTTTGCATTGATTGCATATGCAGATCATACTTTGTTATAATAGGTTAAATAATATATACATATATATTTTAAACTAAATTTCACCTTCATTTTTTAAATGTTACTTTTAAAAATTTAAAATCACGTATTTGACTTACATTATATTTTCCTTAGACTGAAATGATTTAGAAAAATGAAATGATAAATAATACAATATGAAATAAGGAATATAAAAATACTAAAAGTTTCCATTTTCTCATATTATCCAATCCCAATCTCTCTTGAGATTTAAGACATTGCTTGTGCATTTGAAAATATATATGCATGTGTATAATCATAAACTCTCTCTCTCTCTCTCTCTATATATATATATATATATATATCAAGTGATAAAACAGTTTCATAAATTTCCTTTTGTATCAAAGAATGTAAATAGAAATCTTCTTTTAAATATATACTGTATTTTTATTAAAATTAATTTCGTTTTTCACATAAGTACATATGGATACTTGCAGACTTTCCAAAGAATGCTTTTCTCTCTTCACGGAATCTACTGTACTGTAAATTCTCCTTTGTGTCCCAACTGTTCAAGTTTCAGGGCTTTTGTGACTTCTAGCCTAGTCCCATGTCATCTTGTCCCCAAAGACCAGGCTGTTCCATCATCTTCCCTTCCAGACAGTCTTCACTAGGAGGCTTCGCACAGCTCAGGTTGTATGTGGAGGGCTCGGTGTCCTTCTCCTGGGGTCAAACTCAGAAAGGCTTGGTGCCTACAGTCTCTGATGCTCAGTGTCACTTGGGTAACAAAGCTTACGCAGTAGAAGTCACTGGCAGAAACGTTTCCAATGTCAAAATACAGTCAATTATTACATCAGCTAATCATAAAATGCCTTAAAGGAATTCATATCTAAAAATTTATAACAGCATCCCAGAGAGGTTTTGACTCACATGCATTCAGTGGAGATGAGAGTGAGGTGTAGGATCTTCCTGAGAGCAGCAGGGCTTCATGACAAGTTTCCTGAGCGCGGTGACATCAGTCCTCTTCTCACACAGAGCTTCCGGTTTTCAGTAGGCAGATCTGCACCTCCACAGCAGAGACACTGAAAGATCCTCTTTTTAAAAGTGATCATTTCTCCTAGTCCATGTTTGCAGCGTGTGATTACATTCACTGTGGAAAGCTGGTACATACACATAACACATCTGAATTCTCTTATTCTCCTTTCCTTCCTCTCCTCCTCCAACTCTAGTCTCCTTTCCATCTGCAAACCATCCTTGGAGGAATTAAGCAGAGCTTTATGGCTGGTGGGAGAGCTCCAAGTAAGGAATGCACTGTGAGCCCCCAGCTGAACACCCCACCGTGCCCTTGCTGATGAACTCACGATGAACAAAACAGAATCATAAGGTGACTCCAAGGCGATGTTTTATTTCAATAGCTAAAAATCAGGATTTCTTTAAAGACACAAACTACATCATTTATGGAAACACTATTGTCATAGGCTTGTCCTTTCCCAGAAGTTTCTTCTGTTGGAAATCACTTTTCTTCGCCCATGACAGAAGTTGGAGATCTGAGCCAGCGTCTTGCTCTGCCCACATGGTCTAATCTGAATGCAGATTTCTCACAGATTAAGCATGTTCAAGTGTTTGCTTTGATTCCCATGGCAAATTCAAGGACATTAACTAATAAAACTTAATATAGGAACAATTAAAATATGGAATATAATTTATGAAATATTAGAAACCGAGCTGAATGTTTATTATCACAAACATTAATAAAAAGTTAATTGTGCCCTTTAGCAATTAATTTACGCACAATTATCTCAGAGTATTACTGGGCCTTCTAAACTAATTATAGTTATATTGAAATATTAAAAAGAAAACTCCCAAGTATCTACACAAGAGCTTCATAAAAATCTGTACGCTTAGCTTGATGCGGGAGCTCGGAACTGTGTGAGTAACATTTAGTGATCTAACACTGTGCTCCAACCACTTTGTATGAGTTGATCATTTAAAATCAGTGTGCAGTGGGTGGGGACATTAAAAAGGCTTTAAAGTTACAGTGAGGGCTCAGCGGCCACCCAGCAGCATAAGGCCCTGAGTTCAACTCCTGATTAAAAAAAGAAAAGAAAAGAAAGAAAGAAAATATAGTGAAAAATGCAAAACAGTTAC